AGGTAATTGCAACCACTTTTTATATGCCGTAAATACAATTACTACCATCATCATAATTTACGGCACTAGTCTTTAAACCTAAGCAAAAAACCATAAAATCAAAATAAAGACCTCAACGAAATTACATTATTAACATAAATCATTCTATAAAAAGATGGATCAATTTAGGCTGGAAGTTCAATAAAGCTGTAACTCAAAGCAAATGAAATTGTCTACCAAACATTAATGGGCAAGCCTGTTATCAAACAGACAAAAAGACAAACAACAATGTATGGGTGTATAGGAAACACCAAAAGAAATAGATAAATATAAATTTATTATTCTTTATATAATAAAATAATAAAAAAAAATTAGACAATTTTCAATAAAAACAAATTATAGTTGAAAGAATTGTAATAAAATTTTTGAAATAATATTTATGATTTTTTATGATGTTTTACTAAATGTTTATTGTCATAATTGTCATTATTCAAAAAAATTTTTTTACCTTTCAAATGCACATTAGGCTCTTCACTTAATCCTTGAGAATCATCTTTTTCATAAATATCAATACTACCACTACTACCTATTTTTTCACCTTGATTAATATCTATAACACCTATAATTGCTGAATTATTCTGATTATTTTTGATTGATTCTTCTACCTTTTGCGCTGATAATTTTTTCAAACTTGCTGCATATTGTGTAATCCAATTTGCAACTGTTGCTACTTCAGGAATATCCTCAACTTGGATTTCACCCTCATTAGCTAAAATTTGAAGTTCACTTACCATTTCACTTGCTGTCATCCGATTACTTTTGTTTACATTACCTGATAAAAAGTACCCCTCAAGATAAGATTTTACATTCTTAGTTATCTGTTTTCCTTTTCCCCTTATTCCAAATCTTTGCTTGCTTTTCAATGCCCATCCTTTTTCCAATTCAAACTCAGTACCTGTATTAAAACCATAGAAATGACCATTATATTAAAATTAATAAAAAATAAACAAAAGATAATATAAATTTATTACATATACCTGATGACTGTGTATTATTTTTTGATACAATATCCTTGGTTAACCTATCTATATTTACCAAATATATATAAATATAAATATAAATATAAATATAAAATAAATATAATAAATATTATTTATAATATAAAAAAAAATATAATTCATCTTTTTGATTTTACCTTGAACATAAGACAATGAAGTATTCCACTGTTTTTCAGGGATTGAATGAGAGGAAATTAGGGGTGATGGCTTGTTTATAGGCGTTGTCTCTAATGGTGAAAACTGTAGAAATTCTCCTATATGTGGTAGACATTGAGCTCGCATAAATCCAGCATAATCACCTTCAATTGGCCATTCAAAGTAAAACAATTTTGTAATGCCTCAATTGTTTTCACTTTGTGATTCTGATTTTGGCATGCTGGTTCAAGATGAGCAATAGAAGTTCCCTTTAATCTATGTGTTGCTGCTTCTATTTTCCTTCCTTCATCTAGATTATGGCCAACACGCACATATCTCTTGATAGCATGAGAAATCTAATGAAAGATATATTTTTTAATTAATGGAAATACATATATATTTATATACAATAGCATAATTTAGAAAATTTCACCTGTGCATGATGAGAATCAACACTTGATTTTGCTTCTCCTGGTTCAAAAAAATACCAACCACGAACTTCAATATTATACCATTGGTGCCAGTAGGAAACTATGGTCATTAATTCTGAGTTGTGGTAATGGGCACCATTGTCTAAGGTTGCCTGACAAAATCTGCTTAGCCTGATGCCGAAAGGTAAAACCTCCTACATAGTGCTGAAATGCCAAAATGTCGAAATGCCAAAAATGTCGAAAATGCCAAAAATGTCGAAAATGCCAAAAATGTCGAAAATGCCAAAAATGCCAAAAATGCCAAAATGCCAAAAATGCCAAAAATGCCGAAACGTCAAAACTGACAAAAATGCCAAAAAATGCCAAAATTGTCCGAAAATGCCAAAAATGTCGAAAATGCCAAAAATGCCGAAAATGCCGAAATGTCAAAACTGACAAAAATGTTAAAAAATGCCAAAAATGTCCAAAAATGCCAAAAATGTCAAAAATGCTAAAAATGTCAAAAATACAAAACTGCTGAAATATCAAAACTGCTGAAATGTCAAAACTG